AAGCAGGCAGACTTTTAGCGAAAGAACAATACTATTGTCACATTATTTCTGACGAAAAGTGAGATAGTTCTACGTTCAATACTCATGTGGATTCTTTAGATAGGAAATAAGCTAGTAACTTGAACCCTGGTTGTATTATGTATGTATGTATGTATGTATGTATGTATGTATGTATGTATGTATGTATGTATGTATGTATGTATGTATGTATGTATGTATGTATGTATGTATGTATGTATGTATGTATGTATGTATGTATGTATGTATGTATGTATGTATGTATGTATGTATGTATGTATGTATGTATGTATGTATGTATGTATGTATGTATGTATGTATGTATGTATGTATGTATGTATGTATGTATGTATGTATGTATGTATGTATGTATGTATGTATGTATGTATGTATGTATGTATGTACTAGTATGTATGTATGTATGTATGTGTGTATGTGTGTGTGTGTGTGTGCGTGCGTGCGTGCGTGTGCGCGCGTGCGTGTGTGTGCGTATATATGAATGTATGTATATTAAGACAGTGCATCCGCCCGTTAAGGCTCAAAAAACAGCTTTCGATGTCAAGTAAATCCCCCAGAAATGTCACCATGCCCTTAAAGAGTTTATTTTGAAGAGCCAATATTAGCCAAAGAAATGAATTTTTTGGAGCCGAAAGAAGGGCACTGTATAGCGTGCGTCAGGAGATTGGCAGCTGATTCGCAGGAATTAGTCATGGTCTTTTTTCGCCATCCTGAGTTTTTCAAATGTTCCGTCTCTCTACGAGGTGCACCTTGGGAGGCGGTAATAGAGCGTAATAGAATAATTTTGGTTTTGCAGTTTCTTTGTTTTTCTAAGTGTCTCCAGATCGAGACCGTTTTCATTTGTTTTCATTTCCTCACATGGCCAGTTTAATTAGAATATGTAAAACATTATTATAAGATTTAAAATTGCTGCAGTGTAATTGATCCAAACAGTAGTAAACAGAACAAATTATAAAATCATATTCACTTGGTGTAGTATCATATACACTGGTTGATTTTAATTTTTCTCAATAAAAAACCAGATTGAGACTTATATTAATTCTTTACATAATAGCCTATTCATAAAATAAAACAATTTTTGACTAGAGAGCCAATGGGCATAACGTAATATTCATCACCTCGGTCAATATGTCATCACATCATATCAAATGGCTCACTTGTCAATAATTGTAAAATAAAGAAACCAAATAATACCGCAGAAGAGCTTGTACCACAAAGCTTTGCAATATTAAGCAAAGTCCTTATCGACCGTGCTATCGCAAGACGTATATGATCATTAAAAATATACCTGAAACCCAGCATTACTTTGAGCCTTACATTGTTTAATTTATTTAATTAGATTCTAGATAAACATACAATATGTGTCAAACACAATACAGGAATATAACCGTGTCATAATAATCTTAACCAACCGTCAGTCAATTTACACCTTGTATAATAGCTTTTATTTAGGAAATAAATATCAATTGCGAGTGCATTGTTGTAGAATAATTCACGGTACGAGTTCAAATGCGTAGGAATATAATCACGAAGTCCGATAGTCCTAAGTAATTATAAAGTCTATGAACAATAAGTCATGCCTTATTATACTATGATGCAAGAAAAATCAATATCTGCTTTTATTTCTACATGTAAAAAAAGGAATCGATAAAATATGCTGAACATGTATGCAATGATGAAATAAATGCACTTTATACTTGATACGTTTGCGGGAATGACGTCATTTTAAAGCACGTGACTTGGGGATTTTTAAAAGACGGATTTTTCTACCACTGGTGTAAAAAAATGGGGAAGACCATTTTACTAATTTTGTAATCTGCCCATGTAAGTGAGTTGTTTTGCTCTTGCATATTGATTACAAGAGCTTAACTGAGGAAGGAACATGTCCCGGCTGCCTGTACAAACCATAATAACTAGGTTAACTATTAACGGTAACGTTGCTGTACCGATTTCTTGTCTGGAAGTTCCCGGGAATTTTAATCTTTACATATTATAATTTCAGAATATTTTGTACCAAAGGTCTGAATAAAATAACAAAAATGAATTTGAAATCAACTTACATGTTGCTTGTCACAGTTTTGAGTTATCTACTCTTGAATGTGACCAAATCACTTTCAGGGGCATATAACTCAAGAGGAAGATTAAAGATCGACATTTTTATCATCGCTTTCTTTATGATACACAGTTTGGAACTTTCTGCTCTGGTTTAATCTTTCCACTGTGTGTGTGCGTGCGTGTGTGTGTGTGTGTGTGCGTGTGTGTGTTTGTAACGGGTAAATGTAATAATTCATTGCGTGAACACCACAATATCTTCATTTCTTTTTCGGTGAAAATATGAAGACATTTTATTAATTTGTCCAATTTCAAATAAAATTACAATTTATTATTCAATAAGTCTTAAGGATAAAACTATATGCTGTTTTACAGAAGGTCTTATCAAGGTGAGTTATCTACTCAATCTAAATAAATTATAACTGTATTTATTCAGTGAACTTACCTTTATTTTTTCCATTTCTCCACATCTGTCAAACATAAGCAAATGCAAAAACAAATTTTATGAAAATTATTTCACAATAAACTTCAACGTTTACGGTTGTTTTAAAGCGTATGTTGTAATCAATACCTTAAATAATTCACACCATAGAATTATTAATTTATTATGATACCAGCTTATTATAACTGATGAATATATTTACTTTATTCTTTTCCAGTGTATTCTGTTATTTACTTAAATAATAGCCATTTATTTGAGTACATTTCATTGTTGTAGAATAAATAGCACTATCTGCATTGTCATTTTGTAAAATTAATGATATTACCATTCTAGTGTTGTGCTGTCGTCAAACGAATAATTCACAAGGTTTTCAATATATGTGACCTTTCGATAGGTCTTTATTCATCCACACATTAAAAAATACAAAGATGGATCTATGCACACATTTTCGAATTACGAAAACTGAATAATGCTGTCAAATTTACAACACATACCGGTCCTTTCCGTTTTGTGGATCATCCCCTTCTGGCGGTATTGTATCCTCACCTGATTGTTTATCATCACATTTTGGCGATTTGTCTCCCATTTGAATTTTGCAGTAGTCAAATGCAATGTTCAAAGAAAAATTGCTCTGTAAATATTTAATATTTAAAGAGTTTAAACATTTAATATCTTATTGATTATCACTCCAAATGCATTGTTTTTGAAAGACTATGCAATATGAACGATTTGTTTACATATTGTTTTGTTTGTTTGATTGTTTCATTTTACGACTTTTCCCAACAGTATTTCAGTCATATAGGCGGGTAGTTTCCTAACCATCGTTCCTGGAGAGTTACACCAGTACTAGACACTACCTTCCTCCGATCTAAACTACCAAAGCATCTCCAGGGGATCAAACCCACGCAAGAGAGGTAACTGGATTAGAAGTCATCGACTCTAACCCCTCGACCACGGAGGGGGTTTACATATTGTTCTGAATATGATATTATCATGACAACATATCGAAACTAGTTTTTCTTATTAAAATCAAATACAAAGTCACGTACAACACGGAAAATGATGATTGTTTAAAATTGTATCAAAAGTGAGGATAAAAATAATCTGTTTTAATTTTCAATAACAAAAACATGTCCTTAAAAGGCGTTTGCTAGTCATCCAGTAACATCTAAATATACTATCACCATGTTATTTACACTTTATTCCCTTTTAGCAAATCAATTAAAATAGCTTCGATATTATTGTATGGGGCTGAAATTTGGGGACTGGAAAAACAGGATTCAGTTGAGCGGGTACATTTGTATGCATGTAAGCGCTTTATGACTGTTTCAATCAAAGCATGTAATACAGCAGTCCTCGGTGACTGTGGACGCCATGGCATGTACTGTTTTACTGCCAAAAAGCTGTAAAACATTGGTTCCGAATATTACTTATGCCACATTTTCGTTTTGTCGGAAAATCTTACCAGATGCTTGTATTATTTGATTCTAATGGTTACAAAAACTGGGCTAAAAAGATAAGATTGCATCTCTTGTGTTTAGCTAAGTTTTGGATGCCCAAAGTGTTAATCTTTTTTGTTTGGTCAAAACTGGTAAACTTTATTTTTATCATGATACATTTAAACATAATTTTGGCTTTGAACCATATTTAGATTACATTGATAAATATAAATTTAGAAAGACCTTAGTTGCTTTAGAACATCTGAACATGAACTTATGAATGAAAATGGGCGGCATCTGAAAATTTCACGAGAAGGGAGAACTTGTATATATTGTCAAAACGTAATAGAACAAAGTACCGTTTCCTCCTTATTTGCCCACTTTAGTTCTATGTAGCACCTGCATTACATAAATTTAATATCGTAAGCAATAATATATCAGTTGTTAGAAATCTAGCTATGTATATATACTATGCTCTTGAAAAACGAAACATTGTATTCGTGCATTTATTTTTTAACAACTTAAACTCGGCTTGATATATTGTAAACGCAAATTGTTGATTGAATTTAGTAACTATAGAACTTCTCTTGTCATTCACATTTTGTATATTTGAATGTATATTCTGTATATGTGTATTGCCTGGTGGCCATATATCGCAAATAAAATAATAAGTAAGTATAAGTTTCTAGTTACCTTTATTTGACTGATATGTCAAAATCAATAAAATATAATTCCAATTTTACTAGAATCATATAAAAAATAATAGTATTTAACCATATGTAAAGCTTACCTTAATACAACGTAAGACTCACAATCAACTATAATAGTAAATTTTTAATTCCTCCTAATAAACACAATAAATTTAAAAACCTATCTTTAATGTTCATCTAAAATACGAGGTACTGATATATTCGATACGGATTTGACAAAGACAATATTTTGTTTAACAGCATGTAAAAGATTTGTATGAATAAAACTTTATCAAAGGCTTCAAATCAACTATTGTACTGAAGTCTTTTTTTTTGTTTTGCCTGGCGTATACCATTAATCAATCTTTGGTAATAAACTGATTGTATAACTACCTATGGATTAGTTTGTTTGAACATTCGTACATTAAAAAAAATTGTTTGTGTGAAAATGGCTTTAGGACTTTATCTTGGAATTGGTAAAGTAAAATTATTTTCTTTTCATTCAATGTTGTTTGACATAACATTACAATTGACTGATCAATGTCAAAATTTATTCACAGGCACATTCAAACTAAATACTGATTTATCCATGAAAATTATATTTGATAAAATTTACTTCTATTTTTGCGTAATCATGGCTATTTTAATAGTTATAAAGATTGTTGACAGGTTATATGGCCCTATATAAACGGCTATTTGTAAATATAACCCGAGCCGCTAGGCGAGGGTTATATTGCAAACAGCCGTTTATATACGGCCATATAACCTTTCAGCAATCTTTATAACGAATTTATAATACAGCAAGCATCATTTTTAAAGAAAAATGTAAGATTTATTTATGAATCGACAACAGCCGTGTATATAAAATTATATAAACGTCACGATTATCCAATGAAAAGCGACGTTACAAACGTGCAGTATTATAAAACTTCAAATAACCGGAGTATCAACATTGAGAAACTTGATGACAATATTATAACGTTTTTAAAAATGTTTCATAATGTGTGTTATATCATGTACCTTCTTTAAACATGTTTACGGACATTATGTTTATAATGAAGTGACGTTTGTTAATTAGAAAATAGATATCAATTATGGGTGCACTCTTTAGAGGTTAATACCAAAACATCAGTCTTGAAAGCTCAAAATTTCATAAAAAATCTAACGCTAGATCTAAATGTTGTTCTCTCAAAAAGAAAAATGTACAGAGTTAAGTATTTATTGATAAAAAACATCAAGTAAATAAAATTTTCTCATGTTTATTTTGTGTTAGATCTATTACGTTTCTATGTTAATCGGAGTGTTAAACTGTATGCCAGATATTTGTTTACATTGACAGCTGTCCGTTTCTTAGAAAGGGCGACAACCAAGATTAGCGGCGATGACTAAACGTTGTATTTCGGACATAGGTATTAAAGACGTTAATACTTGGTTGCTGCTCCCAATTATACGACAATGGCCCTCGAGTTCATAATGTCCTTCGGGCCTGCGGTCTTCAGGCCATTTTGTACATCTTCGGGCCATTATTGCATAAAAGCATGCAGTAACCAAGTATTAACCGGTTTGAACGAAATTGTACAATAATATAAGAATTTATATCTATTTTCAGTCAAACACGCCAGGAAAAATATAATATTTATTATATAGTTGGACTTTATGTTTAATGGCTAAATTTGTTTTCGCGTAGAAACGTTTTTTAAAGGCTGTTCCTGTGCGTTGAAAAAAATATCGTAGATTACGAATTTTGAAAACGTTGATTAAACTTTTTCTATTATTTTACTCTATATTTGTCAACCGAAATACAAAGTATTAATTGTGAAATAAATGTGAAATTTATCTTGTTTGCGACATTGATATAGCGTTCTTTATTTGATTGTTATTGCACGTGCTGTTTAGCGCTATATTGTGACGTCACGTAAACAACACTTTAAACTTATGTACAGCGTTAACGACTGAATTAAAGATATTGGTGTTTGGATTCATTTTCTTAGTTAGAAGATAGTTTTCACAACAACATTCGACAAAAAATTGCTTTTTATATATCAGATTTTTCAAACAAAATGGCGCCGTCGGTTTGAAAATACACACGGAGGTAATATGAACGGCGAGTGCATTGTTGTAGAATAATGCACGCTACCGGCCTTCTTTGTTTATATTGAAAAAAAATCCGATAGGGTTAGAATATAAAATAATTAACGCATTCTAGTGGTGGGAGAATAGGTGTCCCGTGTTGTTAACGATGCGTGGCGATGCTTAATCATTTTTATGATTTCAATAAGAAACCTACAATAAATACTATTGCATATTCCGTCCTACTGTTCTATCTTGTAACTTGACTCAAAATTACTGACATTTGGGCATATTAAAGTATTTTCTTTTATATATATTAAGTTTAATAATATTGTATTTATAACCATTACATTTACATGATAATTGACAAATAATAAAGTGTACGGATAAAGTAGGAAGCTTGAACAGCTTCTTTAGAAACCCTCTCCCGAAGAGTATGTAAACTCGGTAACAACTTTATATGCATGTTTGTGTTAAATATACATAACATTTTTACTATAAACTTGCTTCTTAACACGTACAAGAAAGTTTTCCTAATCGAACCGACCTTAATAATAAAGTATAGAAATAAACAAGTGAAGGAAAACCCTATAGCTCTATAACATAAATATACAAATAAGTAAGTGATAAATGCAAAATGGAAAATGTAAGTTAATTGTTGAATTGTATCTATTTGTTTTTTACAGTTTCATCTATACATGTAAAACTAATAGATATATAAAATTATACAAAACAATACAAACATAAAATACATGTACAACCATTCTAAATAGAATGACGGGAGACTTCTTAGGGTGACAACTCCCCAGCCCATAACACAAAAGTATACTGTTTTGTGTACTTCAGATTTATCTCCCTTAGCTACACACATTTCCTACACGACAACATACTTTTATTTCACTTTTATAAACTTATAATAAATAGATATATAGAGGATATTTGTTTAGTTCAGTGTAAGATCGGAATATATTTCACCGAGTGAGCACCAAAAGGTATATTCCACGAGTGACGCAGCCACGAGTGAAATATGAACTGTTGGTGTTCACAAGGTGAAATATATTATGATCTTACACTAAACTAAACAAATTTTCTTTTTATTACATGCAAATAAACGTTTAAAAAAGACATTAAACCGAATACTGAATGAAAAGCGCGCCAAATAATAATGCAATGTGACGTCATTTACGACGTCACGTCATTAAGTTGGTACCCAGTACTGTGCACGCTGGTATTTCACTGAAACAACGTTAGGGGCTTAAGTTCAAAACAGTGAAATTATCAAAGTGGTAATTTCACTGTTTCAAACAGTGAAATCACCAGTTTTATATCACTGATATATTTCTATAAACCACCGAAAAGCATGTAATAAATAAAGATAAAACCACTCATGGTATAATTGTTAATCATGTTAAACGTAGATGGTAAATTTTATGTCTATAATGTCAATCTGAATTAAGCATGATTTTATTATCACCTTATGAGTCTATTATTCATATTATATTAGATTATATTTCATTAAAAGTCATTTTTACAGGCCTGACATGGAAGCCTTGGAGACAACCATACGAGAACTTCAAATGGAACAAAGAAGTGAGAAATACATTTATTATTGACCTCTAATAAGTACAATTATTTTTATGTCAATATGTATATTGATTTTATACAACAAATAGTAATACAAATGATCATTGGTATTCTCTTAGGCTATATTTTTCCGTATCATTAACCAAAATAAGTAATTATATCTTTCAGACAGCAGAGAAACTTCAAAATGATGTATATGATATAAAACCAACAGCCGAGTCTGGTTTGAAAAAGTTTAAAGCCCTTACAATTGGCATGTATGGGCATGGGAAGTCCTCACTGATCAACTCATTTGCTTCTATAAGTGTTGGCGAAAAAACTACTGTTTGTAATGCTGCTGATACGGAAGAAACTGTTACCACGCATGTGAGTTTACAAAGTACGATCCAGAATCACCCGAATGTCCTTTAGAAGTCCTGGACTTCGTTAAAATTATGACTGTTAAAATTTCAATGTTTCACTTAATTGAACGTCAAATAGTACTTAATGCCTTTCAGTACTGTGTTTCAATATGTCTTTATTCATCAGTGCCACCCTACACCGGTACAGGTTATAGAACGCGACGTACGCTGAAAGAAAATTTATATTACACCAAAGTGCTTTTAACAAACATTGATTTTGTCAACTTGACATAATACCTGAAAACTTTCATGCTTAAATTTCATATCTATTGAACTCTGGGTTGATGTCAGATCAAGCTCCATTTGTTTGCAGTTGCAACATTTATTTCCTCGAAGACGTTTTCATCAAGGCGTCTGGAAAACGGAGTTCTTATGATCATTTGCCATCTGTTCGAAAAGTCCCTTTCAGGCACATTGAATATGATGAAGAAACCCCGCATAAATCTAGTTATTTTTTGTATTACATAGCAATGCTATAACACAAGTATTGCATAGATCTAAGGTTATTGTAGTTATGAATTTAATTTATACATTTTAAAACTAATGCTTAAATTAATAGAATTTAAAATAATACAAGGCGAAAGATGGCCTGACTTTCAAATCTATAAATAATAAGCTGCGGGAAACACAGACTGCATCGAATGTGCATTACAATCTTTGCGGCGATATGAATGTGCTGATCATTATGTGCTTAATTGTTATAATTTATTGTTTTGCTGAGAAGAGAATATATTATGCATTAAGGTAGTATCTGTAATATGAACTTCAAATAAATATTATTGAATCTTAATTATTTTATTTGTTGATGATATAACAGATTTCAATTTTCCACGAAAGGTATCCATTTTTTGTTGTTTGAGAGTTCACAAAAATAGTTTGATATGGCCTCCCGTATCAATATATAAAATTGTTTCATTGCGAATGGATTTGAATCTTTGCGAGTAATAATATTATTTAGTCACTTCAATTTTCATATACAGACGCTTTTGTTTACGGATATTTCCTCTGACTTAATAACATCTAATTGTCTTATTTTAATTAACTTCTTAGGGATGTTATTGTTAGCGAAAGTGTGTATCTGATTATTTACGTTATTGCAATATATGTTTACACCTCCTGTAAGGCAATTTCCTATACAAAGTTATTAATATCTACACGTAATGATCCATAGTCAACATGTTCATATTCCAAATGCAGCCAAAACGCGTTTGAAGTAGTTGACAGCATTTCAGAAAACCAACTATAGATACATGATTACATGGTTCCTGTTCAAGAAAATGATCCATAACGCCGGAATGAATCATTTTTGTTTGATTAAAAACAAAGGTCGATGAAATAATTTGAATGTTCAGTGTAATGTGTTGTCTCATCGTTTAGTTTGTTAAAATTGAATAGTTGAATCAGAGATTAAATTTTGCTGTTTTAGGACTAAAAGATAAGATTTAAATTCTTATTCTGGTTTATACCTCGTATAAGGTTTATGTCTAAAAGATACACTAGGATCAGATATATAATTTGATTAAGTAGATCGTTAGTGAAACAGTTGAGTAACCATTAACAACAGTGTTGTTTGCATATACTTTTAAACTTCATTGTTAAATGCCTTTTTGGTTGTAATTTTTTCAATCAAAGGCATTTGGCATAATTAATAAATAAAACTGAGTGACATACTATAATACATCTTAAAATATTTCTATTTCAGTACAGAAATTTTGTTTATCCTGGTACATTGGGACAGTTTGTTCTAGGCGATATTTCAGGACTTCCATTTAAAAAGGATATTCATCCACTTCTAGAAGATATGAAACTTATTCTACAAGGACATATCAAAAGTGGATATAAGGTAAGTTTTCATTTTTAAAAAGATGTTTAATAAATAACCATTTTAGTAAGTACAGCACAAACTCAATACCACTTTTACTGTAAAAAAACTAATATGTCACAAAAAAGCATTTGACTAGATATATGTAATGTCTGTGACTGGGCTTTAAATGATTATCTTTGATGCATGACATATCTGAGATAATATATACAAAATGATAAAAACAATAAAATCTTGTCCTTTTTTTTCACGAAACGCAGTTTAATCCAGAGAAAAGAATATCTTCTGAAGACGAGTATTATGAATCAACACCAAAATTTTCGGATAGAATTCATTGTGTAATGGTTGTCGTCGACAGTACAATGGCGTGCGACCTTCATGCAAGCTTTGTATACGGCGTCAAGACGATCATGCAAATCATACATTCAATGAGTATATTTTTGTTGGTCTTAAATTGAACTTAAACTTGAGAAATTCGGTACATTTTTTTTAAAACTGCAATTTGAGAGGAATAGTCTCTGGTTTTCTTTTTTCTCTAATTATCTTTGATTATTACACTGAAAAGATACAATACGATATTAAATTCCAAATACTAGTAAACACCGCTCCACATCCCCACCGCAACCCCTGAAATATAAAAGTATGACATATTTGAAACAGTATACTTTCACCTATCAATCTGCTCCCTTTGTAGAACATACATACATTTCGATTTGGGAGCATGTGTGCGTGACTTTAAGATCAAACTTTTCATACAGTTAAATCAAAAACTGGTCATGCTCAGATAAAAACAAAGGTGAAAGCGATAAAAACAAGCAAAATATTTGAAAATTGCAAATTCTGTTTAATTAATAAATAAATGTTTTGTCATGGCATATTACTTGACTGCTTGCTAAAAGCATTTTTATGATATTCAATTGGAATTTAAAGCGCAGCGAATTTGACAAATCAACAGAAGAGGGTAGTTTTATTGGTGACGTCATCAGACCTCTCCACAGTGTTGAGACTGATTGCGGGCGGCATTCATTTTCGCGTATTAAATACTAGTAGAAGCTAAAGCATCGCATATTAAGCCTTCAATCATTAGAACCAGTCAACTAACATTGTTATCCGCATGATCCGCTTCAAAATACGACTTAACTTACATGAAAATTAACATCAAAGTGAATAAATCGTTACAAAAAAAGCAAAATATCATTTACGTTACAATGGTTCATTCAGTTTTTAATCCTTTTAAATGTATGAATTGATTATTACTTTCTGAATAACATTTTACTATTTCAAGTTCCGAAAAAAAGTAACAGTGCACATTAAAGCTACGATATCTATCACCATGCAGTATTATATGACCGAGTGAACAATTTTGCGAAATGTTGCAGCTCTTTTAACTTTTGAACCGGTATGACTAAATTACGCAACGGAGATTTTTTGGCGCACATGGCACAAAGTTTCACAAGTTGAATATTATATCATACATGTGTATATCATTTTTTTTCTTGAAATATTGTGGTTGGAGGCATGCAGCTGCAATTCTGTTTATTCCGATCATTTTTTATGTAAATCTGGGACTTGAAATTGTATGATTTCATAATTAATGCCCGTTTCGGAAAATCTCTGTTGCAGAGGAAATGTTTCCATATTCTTTCCAAAAGATTAATCGAAAATTTGATTATTGAATTTTATAAGATTTTTTTTATTTTGATTCTCCTTTTATTATATATCTTTTTTTAAAACTAGTTTAATAACATAACATGAATTGTTTCTTATATAGAAAAATAATCGCTGATGCTCCGAGAAAATGTCCGGAATATAATCATTCAAATCATTGAAGGAATAAAGTGTAAAACAAACTTTCATTATGATACTATATTATTTATATAATACATTCTATATTGTTAAATGATTGTAATTTATAAACATTCATTGTGCCCTTCATGCAAAAATATATCTTTATAAATCCGAATTAAACATATTTTCTACAGCAGCAATATGAAGCTAACTTGTGAGTATTATGTCGGGCAAATATTGTCCCATCATAATTATTGCAACATACTTATAGTGGGTTATCAATTATAACAGTTCTAAGCTTATGGTGTCAGTAAGATCATTTTGCTATTCATCTGCGGATATCAAGTAATTTAGTTTGAATACACGTCAGTTAAATTATATTTGATCATTTGATTGGAAGTTGAGAAATTTTACATTTATACTCAAGTATTATATTTTATATTCTACAAAAATCATGTGATAAATTATTTCATAATTTTTAAAAATGCAAAGAATACAACGAAATTGAAGTTTATAGCATGGCCTTTTACTGCTTTTAAACTGTATTTACTTTATTTTAGATATCCCTGTGATAGCCGTTTTAACGAAAACTGACAAGCTATCAGAACATGTCAAATACAGTGTCGAGTCAATTTTTCGATGTAGGAAAATCCAACAGGCTATTGAAAGGACATCTAAGCAACTAGAAATTCCTGTGCCAAAGATATATCCTGTTGTCACTTTTGAAGAAATGGATCACTTTACTTGGAGAGAGTCAATTCCAATATTGATTGTCATGAGATCTCTTTTTCTTATGGCAAAAATGCATTCACACAATGCTGATAGGGCTAAAGAATGAGTAGTAAACAACCACAGAGGTTTAAGTTCGTTTCAGAACCTCTTAACATACGACATACATATATTTGTTTGTTTGTTTGTTTGTTCGTTCGTTCGTTCGTTTTGTCCGTTTGTTTGTTTAAAATGAAAATGTAATATTTTGTTAAAATGGGAGTTTCGTGAAAATGTGATGTCAACATTTAATGTTAAAAACGTGTCAACATCTTATCAAATGATAAATTGGTATTGGAGTCCACGAAGTTATGATCACTTTGTGATCAATGTTAAAGTACAAATTCCTCCCCCATAGTCACATAATGAATAAATGTGTTTGAATTGTTCTTTTTAAACAAAACACATGTCATCTGTATTTATTCATTGATGGTTTGCTGAATTGATTTATGTAGCGTATCTTTATTTTTATCAATAATGATTTGTTTCTTTTGTTTTATTCTCATTTTTATAATATTACATGTATTTATGTTCATGATCATATGCCTGAAGAAGTTAAAGTAACTAAAATTGTATGAAAAATGAAAATCTTAACTTTAGAAGTGTAAAGCACAATTACAAATATGATTTAGTCCATAATAGCTCATTTGTTTTAATCATTTTAATTGTAACTTAAAAGTGAGAAGTTAAATTTTATAAAAAAAAAATATTTTTAAAAATATTTTATGTATAGCACGATTAACTGATATTTCTGATACGTTTTATTTTTATTTCAAAAGCATGATAAATCAGGAAATGCTTTGTCCTGATTACCACCACCAGAATTAATCATACTATGAAAATCTTCCTTTAAAAAAAACATTGTCACTGTATTATACATTTCGATATTATGAATGGTTTACATTTAAAATACAAAAAAATGCGTTATTTTGTCAAATGTAGCTCATCTGAATTACAAGTTGTGGTTGAAAACAATTACAAATACTTATTATTGCTTAATATTAAAAAAACAGAATATTGATATAGGTAAAAATGGACATTTTAATGATAAATTGTACCTTTTCAAAAAATAAATACATGAAATAAGTGCATTTCTTTTTGCTTTCATTTATAATCGATCACTTTGTTTTTTCGTATTTTTGTTTAAATTAATTGAAAGAATCACAATGAATAGCTATCCCCATTATTGATGTACTTTAGAATGAAAACAAAAACTGTCTCAAAAAGTAAGATTCTAATGTTGTGTTTTATGTTTGCTGTTAGAATATACTATGCTCAACTTGAGTAAAATACTTTTATTGCAGATTTTTTTTGAAATCTAGTAAATTCTTCCTGAATATGTTTAACTTAATTTGAATGTGTTAAATATGTTTGAGACCTGCATTCCCTATTAATATCATGTTTATGTGGTCTACTCTAATAACAACATTTTCTATGAAATCCTTATTTGATTACCTGTAGTGTGTAAAATTTAAACGGTATCATATCTTCTCCAAGTTATCAAGAGGTGTTTATTTTATATTTGGAAAGATACTTTATAGTAATTATCAATTTTTTTGATGTCAAATTTTATCATAATATATCTCTAATATATAAATCTTGCTTAAGAGTTGACCTCATAGATAGACAGATGTTAATATTCTCAAACCGTATTTTCAAATGTTAAGTCAGTAATCAGTTAATCTACATCAATAATACACATTGTTGATAAGGCTACACTAACTGATTTTGCTATATGTAGAAGAGGTTCAAACAATAAATTATGAATAAATATGAAATCACTTCTCATCAGTGTTATTTTAATTGATATGAGCCAGACACTAACACTTTGCATAAATTCACAATTATATTGACTTTACATTATTTTAAAAATTGAAATAAAACACAAAATTAAAACAGTACAAAATTTTGTTCCTTGTACGTACATAACATAACGCATCAATGAATCAATTATTCAACAAAGCTATCAAAGTTGTACATTTATAGTGTGGAATGATTTTGCCGCTTACATTTGACATGGTGATCCATATCTAAATGATTGCGACCGAAAGGAGACCTGATGTGTTGTATATCAGAACTATACTTTTTGCTTTAATTCCAGTACAAAACACAGTGTTCATCGGTCCAAATAACGACAGTAAATGAAATCGACTTTGTTCCCAGATTTTTAAAGTCTCCCTTCACCGCTGGAAAAAAGAAACTCCAACCCGAACCATTGTTTGGTATCACCAAACACTGCAACGCAAAACAGGAATTGCCAAGTACTAAGGGCAAAACAAATTAAAGCAAAATTCTTGTCCAAACACTTGTTGACTGAAGAACTGTATAATACTAATCTAAATACTAAATACTGAATTCGTTTCCCGATCATAGGTCGGCCTCCCTGACGGGTACTCCGTCACGAAAAGTACGACCATTATCAGGGTTCAAAGTTTAAGTGCCAAACAAAATCATATGCAATGTCTGATCTACTCCTTATAGAAATAATTTAACGGCCAAGATAAATATGATAAAATTATTGCCCAAATTCTCATCGTGTAACTGGAATATTTTTTATGAGATAATTTCTTTAAAGATCCTGTAACACATTTTTTTCATGGTTTTACTTCATAAATATGATGCTCAAATTAAGATGTGTCAGTATTGTAAGTTCCAAAAAGCATTATTTATAAAGATATTACCGAATTCAACATTTCATGAAATAAAAGGAGGTAATAAGAAATATATTTTCTGTAAATTCTAAGACAGATTTTCCAATAAGAAATGAATGCATATAATTATTGATTAAATATAATGTGCACAAATATCTGCAGTACATATTTTACATAGTCTTCGATGTTTGAAAATTGTTTTATTTGCAACTCAATATACATATATAATTGTTTGCAAGTGTGGTATACACACAGTAACAATATCATTCACAAAACATATAGGATCTTTAAAGAAACTATATACAATTCTAGACCAACATTATTAAGATGGATGTCGTCTGTGCGAAAAAAAACACAGTTTTTGCGTCGATGTCTGACTATGAAATCGCTTTGGCCTGACGACATTACTGTATGACGGCCTATTCAGTTTAATAGTGTTCGTTTCCTTTCAATGGCTACCCAACCTCCCGACGCTCTAGGCAATATCTGCTTTTGTTATATAGCTACTATTATTAAAATGTAAGAGGAAAGGCTTCGCGCAAATAAGTAATCTCATTCCGGAATATGTCTTTTAAATCTAAAATAGGTAGATCTGTCAAATCATTCCCTCCGATGTGTAATGTAATAAAAGATGAAGGTTAAGAAAACAAGTCCTGTGACTCAACAGATTGACGGAAAGACTTCTAGCGTAGGCCTCGAACACCCCACCAAGTTATTGATATATCCTTCAACTTCAGGTTAGTCTTGCCTGACGTCTTTGTCCGCTGTCTAACCCAATAAGGAATTGAGTCGCCAAGAACCCATACATCTAAACATAAATAAAAAAACATAATTTAAAAAATATATGCATTTATAGCAAATTTTTTACTTCGTTTGTCAGTGTTTTATGACGAATGTAAAGTCTGAATGCATTCGACTTCGACCTTCCCAGTTAATAATTACTGATGATGGGTAACCTTAAGCAGCTTAATCAGTAGCTCTGCCGTTTCTAAAGCTATGAGATGTATAATATGCATCTTAAAATTGTGAATGATTGATACACTTTGCATACTGGATGGCGTTACTAATTTACTGACCTGAAACAAACCAATGTCGGCCAAAGTGAAAAGTGACTTAAATAACTTGTTCTCATAAAGATTATAGCAGACCCTCAAATCACAAACTGAAACCAAAATGCTTAAAGTTAATGGCTCCCGATTATTGTAGGTGTTACGACTTCTACGACAGCCTTCTTATATTTTGTTTTCTATAAAAATATTGCTGATGTCGTAAAAACCGCCCAATTTATAAAAAAATATACTAGCGACATAACTTGAAACCAAAATCTAAATCCCAGCACTGTCATTATATAACTGAACGTCTTCATTAGAAACTCAGAATCTATCGTGGAAGACAGATATTCCATTATATGATTACAAAACAACTAGTCATATAGATAAATCTAATTTTATATTTTTATTAACAGGTCAAACTACTGGTTGGGTTTCAACCACACTTTATAGGAGTGACCAGTACCGTCCCGTGTTGAGCACATCGCCGACAAGTTATGCTTCGCTGCACAAAATGACCACCAGAGCTTTAATAGAAAAAAATATTGTTTGGCCTTCACAGGTCAAACTACTGTTTGGGATTCAAACTAACTTTACAGGAATGATCAGTATCATCATTAGTCGTGTACATCACCGGCACGTTCCACTTTGCTGCACAAAATAGCCGCCAAAGCTAGAAATATAAAATACTTGTCGGCCTGCACATGTCAAACTTCTGTTGGGATTTCAACCAAGTTTTATAGGAGTGCCAAGTACCATCCCTAGTTGTGCACATCACAGGCGTGTTCCGCTTTGATGAACAAAATGGACACCAGAGTTAAAAAATAGATACATCTTGTCCGGCCTTCACAGGTCAAACTACTGGTGGGATTTCAACTAAACTTTATAAGAGTGATCAGTCCCATCCCTTGAGCATATCACCCTCATGTTCCGCTTTGTTGCACAAAATTGCCACCAGAGCTAAAAAAAGAAAATGTGTGTCTGGCCTTCACAGGTCAAACTACTGCTGGGTTTGACAGGAGTGATCAGTACAATCCCTTGTTGTGCACATCACCTGCTTGTTCCGATTTGCTGCACAAAATGGATGCCGGAGCTAAAAATAGAAAAATTTTGTCCGGCCTTCACAGGTCAAACTACTAGTGGGATCTAAACCAAATTTTACAGGAGTGTTCAGTACCATCCCTAGTTATGCACATCACCGGCATGTTCCGCTTTGCTGCACAAAATGGACGCCAGCGCTAAAATAGAAAAATCTTGTCTGGCCTTCACAGGTCAAACTACTAGTGGGATTTCAACTTAATATTACAAGAGTGATCAGTACCGTCCCTAGTTATGCACATCACCGGCATGTTCCGCTTTGCTGCACAAAATGGACGCCATCGCTAAAATAGAAAAATCTTGTCTGGCCTTCACAGGTCAAACTACTAGTGGGATTTCAACTAAATATTACAAGAGTGATCAGTACCGTCCCTAGTTGTGCACATCACCGGCATGTACCGCTTTGCTGCACAAACTGGCCGCCAGAGCTTAAAAAATAGAACATTCGTGTCTGGCCTTCACAGGTCAAACTACTGGTGGGATATCAATCAAACTTTACAGGAGTGATCAGTATCATCCCGTGTTGTGCACATCACGTGCACGTTCCAATTTGCTGCACAAAATGGCCGCCAGAGCTAAAAATAGAAAAATCTTGCCCAGTTTTCACAGATCAAACAACTGGTGGAATTTCAACCAACATTTACAGGAATAATAAGTACAGTCCCTAGTTATGCATCGCTGCACAAAATGGTCGTCATAGCTATAAATTAAAAAAAAATCTCGTCTGGCTCTCACATATAAGCCTCTGGTTGGATTTCCACCAAACTTCACATGAGTGACCATACATAATTTTGGAATACATGTGTTTTGGGGACAAAAACCCTTCAAGTTATTATTAGATTCTACATCGTTTTACATACCAGAAGGATGAAAATTCACAGTTATTAAGAAGCATTATGTGCAGTGTTTTGACATTCGACTTGTATTTTAAGCAATGTATTAACAAAATTAATGCAGAACTTTTTTTTAGCTTGGGGAAGAACAGAATTTTTGCAGGGCACAGGATTTAAAAGTAAGACTCACAATAACTATAATAATAAATCTGTTATGTCCTTCTTATAAACGAGATGTCAATGTACACAATAAATTTTACAATCTATCTTTAATGTTCATCTTAAATACGAGATACCAATATACACGATATCATCGTGACAAAGAAAATATAATGTTTAACAGCACGTGAAAGATTTGTTTTGAATACAACTATTATCAAACGCTTCAAATCAATTATTGTACTGAAGTCGTTTTTTTACCTGTTGTAGACGTTAAATCAATCTTTGGCAATAAAATTATTCTTTACTACTTATGGATATTTTCATTTAAACATTCATATATATTAAAAAATTGAATTCTGTTTGTGAAAAAAATGGCTTTAGGACTTATTCTTGGAATCGGTAAAATAAAATTATTTTTATTGTATTCATTTAATGTTGCTTGACTCATAATTGACTGGACAATGCCAAAATTAATTAACAGGCACATTTACCTTATATATATATTTATTTCATGTTTTTGAGTAGATATAAGTTCACTTCACGATGGAGAGCAAATTTGTTTTTTAATTTCCCAATGTGGTACCTCGCTTCTATTTTTGCGTAAACATGGCTATTTAGCTACAAATAACCGGAGTATCAACATTGATCACAATATTATAACGTTTTTAAAGATGTTTCATAGTGTGTGTTATATCATGTACCTTCTTTAAACATGTTTACAGACATTATGTTTATAATGAAGTGACGTTTGTTAATTAGGAAATAGATATCAATTCTGAGTGCATTATTTAGAGGTTAATACCAAAACATCAGTCTTGAAAGCTCAAAATTTCATAAAAAATCTGGCACTAGATCTAAATGTTGTTCTCACACAAAAAATGTACAGAGTTCAGTAGATCTAATTATCGATAAAAAACACCAATAAAACAAAATGTTCTCATATTTATTTTTTGTTAGATCTATCACGATTGTAAGTTAATCGGAGTGTTAAACTGTATGACAGATATTTGTTTACATTGACAACAGTAACTGTCCGTTTCTTAATCAAAGCACTGAAAGCACTGGAGGGTCGCTTGCGCTGACAAATTTATATGACATTATTTTGCTGGTGATCACTTGAAAGGCCAAATCATGTCCTTTTGCAACTTTTTTTGAAAAAGTTCATGTCATATTCAAGTGGAAATGATTGAGTACAGAGGAAAGAGCAATATTTTGCCATATGATTTAATTCAGGAAGATTTATCATTGACATCCAACAATTACAACACGGTTTATCAAAAGTACTAACAAGAGCGATTGGTGATCACATGTGTCACCTCATGATGGCCAATTTCATGTTGGGACAAATTTTGTAACAGACGGACAGTGCACAACTAGACTTGGTACTGATCATTCCTGTAAAGTTTGGATGAAATTGCACCGGTAGTTTATGAGGAGAAGTCCGGACAAGCTTTTGTGTATCTGGCAACACACAGAAAAAATTACCTTTTTACCAAAGGGCCATAACTCGGCCAAAAATCATTCAACCGGAAAACCCGTGCAACATGCGCATGGACTTGAGCTACAGATCAATCCTGTAAAGTTTCTTTGAAATTGCATTAGTGGTATAAGAGAAGAAGTCTGGACAAACTTTAAAAATAAAAATTATTTAAGGGCCATCACTCTGACAAAAATCATTGAACCGGAAAATGCTGACAGTATGCACAACTAGACTTGGTACTGATCATTCCTGTAAAGTTTGGATGAAATTGCACCAGTGGTTTATGAGTAGTCCGGACAAGTTTTGTAAGGGACGGACAGACAAACGACGAAGAAGTGATCCCTATATGTCGCCACTACTCCATAGAGTCGACACAAAAACCAGTATTTTTTCTCAAGTGGTTCAGTTGAGATCGAAAAACCAAACTGCTTTATATCCTCAAAATAATACTTTGAAAGTTGAATAAATTTTAAGAGTACACTACTGACAGAAACAGAAGTTGGAAGTAGATAACCAAGTCCTCTATTAACAAGTACTTAGCATTGATAATTTCATATGAAAAACATGCTCATTCTTGGGGATTATAGTTATTCAAGTTCAAACAACTCGAAAAGAAAATGGTTGAAAAATCTTTCTGTTTATATGCATACTAGTAATAAGTGTTCCATCAGGGATAAACTTTCAGTGATTGTGAATACATGACTTATCAATGTCACAATTTCACCCAGAGAGATTCATGAAATTCTCACAAAAAATAAGTAAAGTATGGTCAGTTGAAACTAGAACTACACTAAATGTGATTAATACCCCCACAAAACTGCTTTAGACATTTGGATGTAACAGAATACCTTGTAAAAGAATTGAAATAGAGTTATGTTCGTGGGCATTTAAAGATAGTAAGTTGTGGTTCTTGTATGTTGCATTTCCTTTCAACGTGGTTGACCATTGATTAAGTTTTATTGAAGAACTCTACAAATACTGCAGATAGAGTAATGGTTATTGTACACTGCATTTTCTCTCATTCGTTTGACCATTGTATCAAGTTGTATTGAATTCAAACTACTAGTTTTCAAGTGATGCACTGGACAAAAGTACCAAAGGGCACTTCTGTAGGATCATTCCTGCAAAGTTTGGTTACTGTGCAGTCTTTGGTTTCCGAGGAGATTTTGTTTAAAGAAATTTTTGACGACCAACGAAAATTTGATGGTGGGGGTCACAATAGTTTCACCATGAGCACGTTGTGCTCAGGTGAGCTAAAAAGTAATGATCAAAATACAAGTTTGTGGATAACCTCGTCAATGACTGTTACGATACCTCTATTTTTTAAAAAGATTTTGTCGAGCTAAAAAGGGGCATTACTGCAACAAATATAATTTATTGTAGCCAAAATTAAACTAAATATGTCTTTTGATACTAACATGGCAAGTATCAACACAATTCATTTCCTTCATAAGTTGTCCTGCAGAAATCAATTGAACACCATAACTTATAACATGTTTTTCAGAAAAAAAAATGACATTACTTTTAGATTATTTCACAATAAAGTATAATTTCAAAAGTAGCCAGACTTTATTTGAATGAGGATGAAAAGCCTATAAACAAACAGAAATTTGTGGGAAATACATTTATTTCTCAGAAAAATGTGATAAATAAAGAGTAGATAATAAATATTTGCAAATCAGGAAGGAAATTAAACAAATTCAGGAAATATGACAGAATCACTTTCAAAGATGAACATTAAAAATTAATGATTAATGACAAATATCTGAAAATAAAATATATTTGTCATGTTGCAAGTTATTGTTTATGATATCTGGCACTGAATTTACTCCAAAACATAAAGACAATGTGCTCCATACATGCCATACTTAACAATTTACCAGTAAATCGAAGACATATTTCTATAATTTTTTTTATCATATCTTTGCATGAATTATCATAGTTAGCTTACACCACTATGTAAAATGCTAGTTTCTGGTCACAAGAAAATCAAAAGCAATGGATGGTGTGATATTCAAACTAAATTAACTTTACAAATGCTGCTGAAAAACGAACAAGAATATTGTCAATTACTTTCAATTAAATGACAGGACAAATATTGGTTTCAATTAATGCTGCTTTACAAGAATAGAACACCACTTCTAACTGCAAGCAGAACCATAGTGTATTCTGGTGTCAGGAAAATAATTATTATCGCCTATTTTTGTATCTCATGCTTTCTTTAGATGGATAAAAGTAAAAATTTAAAGTGAACTACTATACCTCAATTGGTATTCTGTATGCAAAAGTTTCCTTTTGAATACAGAAATAACTCCTTCACATAGTAAGCTTCACTTCAATTAAGTTGTTCCAGAAATAATACATTGTCTACTGGGTACTTCAGACAGCTTCATTTGAACAGAGTGGGCAACTTCTTACTGCAAAGTGGGAGCAAGGTTTAGTAAAACAATTAAACAGCATAAGTTGTTCAAATACAAGAAACTAGAAGCAGGGCATAATCGGTTTATTGTTTTTCAGAAAAATAATTGAAAATTTAACTTTAGAATGGATCATTTCACTATAAGCATACATTTTAATTTTCTAGTGTAACATGTTTACAATAATATATATTTTTTGTATGATTACTAGTCCTACAATGAATTAATGTAATTCTGGAAAGGAGACTTCTAATTTTAAATACTTTGTCATGATTTTGAATTAGAAAAGGTCTGCAATGATATCAGTCAAACATTAGAAAGTAAAACCCTATGTACAACAACATTGGTGCAAGTTAAAAATTTGGAAAAACCCTAAAACTGTAATTCATTCATTAATCATTTTTCCACATAATCTAATAGTAAAACATGATGATATTTGTCACAAAATCCTTGACTTCAGGCATATGCACCATGCAACAAGTGATTACAGTTAACATGTTTAAAAAGTTTGATGACTCTAATTAATTGCTAAGGGATCAGTTATAACCACAAGATGACATACCTTAGAACCTTATGATATTAGGAAAGACCTTTATTGACATGCAATCAACAACAGACCTAAATTTATTATTGAAAAAATGACAAACCTGTATGAATTTTTTCATTCTCTGCAGCAGAAACCCCTTCCTTACAGATAATTTCAAAGAATCTATAACTATGATCATCATCATCATCATGAAGACTTCTAGGCTGAAACTTCATCACTTTTTGCTATAACAAACTGCCGGTTTGAGCTGTCTTGTCCTGTATACATGTATATAACTTGGCTGAACCTACTGTACCTTCACTGTTATCAAACAGTAACATGACAGAAGTCATCTAAAAAAAAAGCAAAACAAAATTTAATGTCTTATATTAAAGATCATGCACAAGTAATCAGTATTAAACAAGCAATTTATATCATTTAACCACAATTTTTTCTGCACATATGATATCTGTGTTAAATATATTAAATAATAACTTTAAAGGTCCATTAAGCCTTAGAAAAGATAAAAAAAATATTTTTGAAACTTTCCTTTTACATATCTTGTTGCACTTCTCAAATAGTTACATGTACTCATTGACCATGTACATGTAGAGAAATTATCTGGCAATTGGTATTATTTACATTAATTTAGTATTTTGTATGGAAGTCAAAATAATACTGCTCACATTTTGCTACCTTTACAACTTGAACACATGACTGTTTGTTCAGTGTTACTCTTTTCAGTTGTTAAACATTTACAATGCTCTAAATACATCATTAAAACATTATTGAAAACATGTTTGACCTTTCTTAAGAATTACAAAATTATTTACCTCTGACACATTATATGTGCTTTTAAGATTTTCAATATTTTTTACCAGAGATTCTTTTACCTATACTCTTATTCTATAGATTAATTACTAAGAACAGAAAATAATGTAAAGTGTACTACACATTTAGTTACACACAACTTGATAGCAAATTATACATTTTTCAATATAATAAAATACAAAAAGGAAAACTGTTTCTCTCTGTAACCAAAGAGAAATCATAAATATTGTAAACTTCAGACTTATACTCTAATACCTTAAGCATTATTGGCCTCTGATGGCTGAATTCTAAGGTTGTTATAATTTATGTACTTTTACAGTCAAAATGAGGTAAATATTTTTTCAAGGAATTTCTTCTAATAAATATATATGCGAACAGAAAACAAATAAATGTAACGATATGACAATAAGTTAAATTCAGTATTTGACCTTGATGGTCAGTCATCTAAAGGTCAATGTCATATGTGAATTACTTAAAGGGACTCCACTGAGGCTTTTGACTAGACCGGATTGGAAATAATTTTTCAAGATTGATTATATGATATTCTATTTGATGTAGATCTCACCAAAAAAACCTATATTCAAAAATTTCAGATCATGCACTCGCTCTGTTTTCTCATAATGATAACTTGAACAGTGTAAAATGTCAAAAAAATGAACAGTGTTGCCGAGCTTTTGATTCATACATGTATTGGGAAGAATAGAATAAGAATAGCACAAATATACAATTTTCAATGTATTTCTAAATATATTTCTTAACAGTATGTGCATATCATTCTGGACACAAGGAAAAAACAACAGCATTTATTGCAAAAAAGCTGGTATACTGCTTTTGTACAGGAAATAATTCCATGAGGGTAATGTTGTTTTTAATTTTGACTATTAAGTCAAATATGTGTTTTCAAAAATTTTCCAAAGCTCAATAAAATAAATGTGGGTTTTTATTATAAACAAACATTTAATGAGAACTTACACTGAACAATACTATCATAGTATGTCTTGACCATGTCACATTAAAAACCTCGCACAACAGTTTTGTTATATCACACACCTGAAAATAAATGCATTTTCTTATTTAACATTAATATGATTTTCATATCAACAATAAAGCATTCCCAACTTATAGTTATCTAAATCATTTGGCTTAATAGTCAAATCAGCTACATCATGTACAATGTATATATACCAATTCAAAACAGGGTCAATGCATCAAAACTATTGGAACAAATCAACAGCAAGTAAAATGTTGACCATAACCATTCAGACAATATCATTCATGTTTATAAAATACAATGATTATTTGTGAAATTAATCAGTCAAATCCCATGTTATCAATTTAATTATATATTTTTCTTATATCAACAATTTTTCATATTATTAGAAAATCCCCTTATCATCATGTAAATAAAGTTTTATATGATACACAGTCTAAGTACTATCGTCTGTTTCTGTATGCACTAGCATAGAGCAGAATCGGGAACCACGCATACTTGTTTGTGGGAGAACACTTCTGGATTAGGAATTACCTTCTAAAAAACTCTAGTTATAGAATCTTTCTTTAAATACAGGCAAATATGACTGAGTGACAATGCTTGAGCAAAATAAATAAAATCCAGCTGTTTGCATATGTGTTTGTCCTTAGTGGTCTATTTATTCGCTCATTTAATTTTTTAAGCTTTTTAAAGCTTTATACTTGGTAATTATGTACATAAAGAGAAACAGTTATTCTAAAAAGAAAGTCCAAATAGCAAAATTGAAAATGCTGCAGACTCAGTTTGATTGAGCCAGTTCATGGATAGTACTGGAAAGTGCATGCTGCTGTTCACACCCAATAGCACCAGGTTAAGCAGTATTCAACATTTAAACATGTAATGGTAAAATTTTGAAATTAGAAACATTAGCAGGTGTATTTTTATGGCAGTAATCATGGAACCTCCAATGTGAAATGTTAGTGCCATTACATGAAAAGTGGCGTATGTTCCCAAAGAATACAATGTATGTTCCCTTAATGAAAAAAAGAATGGGGGAACTGAACAAACAGGATACTGTTCATCAAGATTCTGTGATTTTTTTTCTTTGTTTTTCAAAAAACTTTGGTTTAGATTATTTCAATAATTAGACTATAAAAACTGAATTTGGCAAAGTATTTGAACTCAGTTAGTGTCGGTGTGAGAACCGAAGCCTTAAAGAATAATCAGAAACCTCGATCCTCTAGGACAGAATTACAACATGTAAGGCCTGTAACTGTTTGCATGTAAACAAAGTAGTTTTTTGACTTCCATACAAAATACTAATTCACTTTAACTATACTGATTGTAGTGTTGTTAGTATTTAGAGATTAGCTCCGCCTACTTGATTAAATATGCACACTCTGAGAACTCTCTCTCTGAGCCCTCTTTGATAGACAGTTTAGATTACACATGCAATGTAGCAACATCTCTGTGAATACTCTTGTAAATAAATCTTAGAATAGAATGTTTATATTGAGTTTTCAATACAGTACACTGATTGCTAAAAAGCAACAGCTGAGTCAAAGTTGGTTCAGATATTTGCCCATTGAGTATATTTTTAGAAGTTATAACAGGCCACCAAAAATAACAGACTTTTGAAAAATAAATTAAAATCATTTCTGGGGCATATTATGGGCCTTTAAGCCAGTATGTGCTAGGGGGCGAGGACAGTAACTTGCATTTTCCAGTACTGTTTACTACTGTTTATCCTCAAACAAACCGAGCCTGCAACATTTTCAATTGTGTCATTTTGGGTGTTCTTAAGGGATTCTATTTTTCCATGTAAACAAACAATAATTTTTGTTACACCAATCTGCCATTAACTTATATAATGTCATGCTACAAATACCATGGTCAATAGTATTCATAAAATTATTAGTCTAACTAATTTAATTTGTCAGAGAGACGCTGAGATAATATTGGATGGGTGAAAGTATAAAAAAATTAAAGTTTGTAAAATAGGTCCCCGTACGAAAAAAACTTCTGTTTTACAACTGTAAAACGACTGAAAAACACCTGTTTTTGTAAAAATACAGGTCTAAGGGACCTGTGTTTGCTGAATTTGACATTTTGACTAAGAAATACAGGTGTATTTTAACATAATTATACAGGTGTATTTTTGAGACAAGACCTGTGTTTTAGATGTACACATGTAATTCTGATACTTAGAAAATATTGAGCTGATATTTTGTGATGAAAATAATCTAAGTCCAAAACTACAACTGTATTTTCAATGATAAAGATGTACAATACACACTTAGAAAATCTTTTAGAGAAATTGTTCTTATTTAAATACTTTAATATCTTTGATGCAATTGTACAGACTGCATGCACATTATTTACACTTAGGATTTAATTTTTAACATTCATAATGTAAGCAACTTTGAACCAAGAGTGCTATCTTAATTTGAATATACATGTACATTGTATATGATTATTTAGTTTTAAAATATATGAGATAGTTTACATAGGCCTGTCCTTGTTGTTCTTTTAAGTATAAAAAGAACAACAACAAAACTATAACAACAACAAACTGGTACATGTTCTTATTCAAGACTCCAAATTTGCAGACATTATGAGTTATTCTTCACTCTGTAAAGTTAATTGTGTATGAAATAAACTCGTACATTAAGCTCTCTCAATCTAACCTCTACTACTCTCCAATGATTTTACACAACTGACTGATTTTACACCTTGCACTGCATGACCAGTCTGATAATGGTAACCACCTGTTTTCCCACCATAAATTCTGCTACAGTCCAGACTCTTCCATTTGATTTTTTCTGGGGGGAAACAACTTTATAAATTTTAAATGTTCAGAAGTCTGTTTAGAAGGAAACTGCAAAGTTATCTTTAAAAACTTATTATGAATTTGAAATTCTACATTACACTTTTTTTCTCATATGTCTATGATTGTGAAAGTAAAATGATGGGTGCTTTGATTTGTGGAATATCCCTGTTTAAAATTATGCATGATGAATCAGTCCAGTTCTACAGTTGTAAAATTTGAAATCTGAGGTATTTGTGGAAATAGTGCTCATGTATCACAAAGGATCTTATTGATAATTAAGAAATTGTGGAGATATAAGCAATTTTCTAGGCAATATTTTGTATAAAATGTTTGGGTGTAAATTCTTAAACTTTTCAAAGAAAAAAATCAAGGCTACAGTCTTGTTAATGAAAATGACAATATTCAGGATTATGGGATATGCTGGTTGCAAATGAAATTTGAATCTTGGACAAGAAGAAGAAAACCAGAATCATAAAAAATCAGGTAATAACCGTTGGATACATTTATGCAAAAAAAACAAGTTATTATTTCAGGTCTGCTAGCAATTATTTTTATCAACTTTATTCTGAAAAAAATAATATTTTACATTCTATTTACCCAGTTGGAAAATAATTTTTAAATGTAAATTTTGTCACCAATAGCATTTAATAGATACTACAATATTGACTGTTAACTGCTTTATATTTTTGAATACAGTCTTGAAGAGATGATATTAAATACATTTATACTTCACTTCTAATTAATAGGTCATAATTTATTTTCATATCTTTTATAATGAACTATGAATTTTGTTCTTAAAGGTCACAGTACACCCCCAGAGACGTTGATCTACATGAAACAAAGCAAAGGACTAAAACAGACATGGTAAAACGAAATTGTAGTTGAACTAATTAGAATAGTTTTGACAGAAATTCATGGTTAAACAAAATAAGTCTACCTTAATTATTAAAGTTAAGTTACCAGTTTACCACTAATAGAATTGAAATATCTTTTATCAGGCAATGCATTAAGTAGGAAAATTAATACATGTATTCATTAATTGTCAAAACATAATTATATAGGTTGAAGTTAATTGACGTATTTAAAAAATTGAATTGGTCAGGCACTGAATATGTGCATTGATGACATTAGTACAAAATGCAAGCATTGAAAGTTACATGATTATCATTTAGTATTCATTTAATGATAAACTATTGATGTTTTATTTGATTCAGGTGAAGCTGCTTTAAACAGGATCTTAAATCACAATGACAGGGACCAGTTAAGAAGAGAAAACACTTGCAAAGGCTTTATTCCAAGTACTTTTATATGTAGACATTAATTTGACAAATACTGGCAATAAATTTTTACAAGATAAAAAACTTTATTAGCATTTGTGAATTTTTCTTCAAATGAAAGGATATACCAGCAGTGTTATTCATGACTTGGATTTTATTGATGCAATATCAGTAGTGTAAGACTGTAACAGAATGTAATAAAATATAGTAATCCATTTAAGACAAAGTGAAAATTTGTTATATATATCCCCATCTTTAGTGATAGTGATTCTAGTTCAGTGATATTTCCTCTCACCTTAGCACAGCGTGCCATTGTGAACTATTGTGATTGTATAATGTCTGCTATTTGTACCTTAATCTTGTAAAAAGATATTTTCTCCTCAACTATTTCTTATTTTTAAAGATTGAGTAGCACAACATGCACAACATTTCTGACCAAAGTGTATTTATCCCAATGAAAAAGATATTTGCACCAAACATGCCAAATATGTTTTGCATTTATGTGTGGTTTTCATCCCTTAAACAATAAGGGCGCCTGTATTTTATTTTTGACCTGTAAAATTTTACACCTGTATTTTTGAGCTGAAAAAATTTTACACCTGTATTTTTAGACCTGTAAAATTTTACACCTGTATTTTGAACAGCTGTAAAAGAGTACAACTGTATTTTCGACCCGTAGAAAAAAAAGTTAATTTACATATTTCGTTCATAGTACAGGTGTAAAACAGGTGTATTTTTGAAAAAACAGGTGTAATTTGCTATAAGTTTATCAAAACCGAAGAAAAATACAGCTGTAATTTTTAACAGAAAAACAGGTGTATTTTAGGCAAAATTACAGGAGTAAAATTTCGTACAGGTCAAACCATTCAAACTGAATTTATTTTTTGAACCAACAACAGGGGCCAGAGGTTAAGAATCAACAACCATAACCACTTCAACACAGATTTCCTGCCCCTACAACTCCATAGTACTC